TTTTTTAGGCAAGATTCGTCCATGTTATTGTTTACACCTTCATCTCGAAATCAAATTAGAAAATCTATATCTCATAAAACGGATAAATCATCTACATCATCAAATTCAAATAAAACAACAGAAACTAGAAATAAAAGATCATCATTATCATTTTATTTATTTGATTCGATTTTTTCACATTCAGTAACAAAACCTTTGACAACTAATACAAAATATGAACAATCACCTAAACGTTCTTTGTCATCATCAAGTACACGATCATCTTTAACATCAAATATTCAATTACCTGAACAAACATCTTGTTCATATAATTATAATGTAAAAAAAGATGAATATGTTCAACTATTAAATACGAATAAAGATAATCATTAATTTGTATGTTGTTAAATACTAATCAAATATTATCAGTTGCCAAAGGTTGGTTACCGGATTTTACTCATGGATTTAATATTCAAATTCAACAATTATATCTATCTCCATCACCATTACTATTTTTTATCTTTATCTTCCAAATAGTTTTAATAATTTAAAAATGGTAATGGATAAAAATTATGCTCTCTACTTTTTGTATGCATGTGTGTATACATAACGAGGATACGAATCTCTATTTTGAGCAGCAATCAAATATATTCTCTATATTTTGTGTTCCTTTTTTTTCTCTGTGTGTATTTTTCTCAATTTGCATAAAAAAAAAGAAAGAAAAGATGTATGTGTATGTCATTTTGTGTGGTTGTCTTTTTTCTAATCGTTCCGTGTTCTATATAGCAGCTCATACAAATATGTTGTTTTATTGCTCTGTTATTTTTTCTTCCGATTAAATTTTAATAATGATGATGATGATGATGATGATGAATTAAAATATTAAATTGAATGAAAAACAATATTTTTAATATGAACTAATTGATCTTAAGAAAAAGAAAAATGACCTTAATCGTAAACGTAATATATCCAGGGAGAATGAATGATATGTTTTTCTATGATGTATTCATTTGAATTTTTATTTTTCTCGTTCTTCATTTTGATGTTTACATATATACAAAGTCCATATATATATATATATATATATACTTTTGTTAATAGTACCACATCACTATACTATGGACCTAGATTGAGTGTTTCATCATATGATTAAATCGTGCTTTTTCGATTATATATTGATGTCTAAGAAATTATGTTATCGATAATTCATATAATTGAACGTATGAATATTTATCTAATACGTTCATTGAATGAGGTACACCTTGGAATACTAACAACTGTAAATTTGAAAATATTTTCTATGTGTTAGATCTATTTTTATTTAATATTGTAGATTAATAATGTTAAACATTATTATTATTATTATTACTTTTTTTCTTATTACTATTGATTATGTTGATTCACAAACTGAACTTACTTTACCAACATTACCTTATGCATATAATGCACTTGAACCAGTTCTATCAGAATATTTAATGCGATTACATCATGATAAACATTTTCAAATGTATACAAATAAAAGTAATATTATTCTTAAAAAAATGTTTACTGATACACAAAGTGATAATAAATTAAAAGAAATAGTTAAACAACCTATAGAAATTATTTTAACACAATTAGAATATTTACCACATCAATATCAATTATCTTTACGATATAATGGTGGTGGTTATTTTAATCATAAACTTTTTTTTTCAATGTTAAAAACACCAACATCTACAGTTGATGAAAATAAACCAATAGGTCCATTACTTGAAGCTATTGAAAAAAATTTTGGTTCATTTGATAAATTTAAACAATTATTTAGTAGTGCATCATATGAATTTTTTGGTTCTGGTTGGATTTGGCTTTATATTGATGCACAAACAAAACGTCTTATTCTTAATTTTACAGTTAATCAAGATAATCCGTAAGAAATACAAAAAAAAAATTAAAATAAATTAAATTTATATCAAAAATAATCATTTTTATTTTATTATAGAATTATGTATGATAAAAATCATATTATTCTTTTATGTATTGATTTATGGGAACATGGTTAGTATAGAAATTTTAATTAATAATATCCATAATGTAATATTTTCTTTTCTAGCTTATTATCCTGTTTATGAAAATCGTCGTAATGAATATATTGAAAATTTTTGGCGTATTATTAATTGGTCCTTTGTTAATCAACTATATATTGAAGGTCAAATAAAACGTAGTGATCTTTAATAAAGCATATATTTCTAGTCATAGAAAATATTTAATGTTTAAACAGATATTTTCAGTTTTTATGTTTTAGATATGTTTGTTGTTTAGATCTTTCCAAAAATAAAAAAGATAAAGACTTTTGTTTTATTTATTGAAATCATCTATTGTCGAAATAACTTCTGTAACATTAATATCAAAATATAAGGCGGCAGGCCAATGATTCTTGAATAATTCTCGATAAAAACATCATAGAATTCTGCAGTTTCCTCTATTCAAGAGAGAAGACTTAAAGCCATCGAAATTTGATTGGTTAGTAATTGACCAATCAAGTGAATTCTTGAGAAAGATTTTTGAAAATGATATTCTGCAGTAATTTCCCTTTCGATCTAAGCAAGGCCGACATTTGTAGTCTGTTCCATTCAAGAGTAATAAAACCTTTCCTGGAGATCACCGATTTCAGACATCATCCGAAAAAGCGCCTAGGCAGAGATAATTCATCATGCTGAATCAAATGGTGGTATTTTTTTTAGTTCGAATTGATCGGACACTGTTATATCAATATTTCTGAAATTTCACAACTCTCTTGAATAGTGAAAATTGGAGGTTCTTATAATGTTCCTATCAAAAAACATTGATCTATCTTAGATTTTGGTGTCGATAATAGAATTAATTTAAGATAATTTTATCTTATTTCTTCATTGCTTTTTAACACATAGTTCTATTTGATTGATTTTCTAATATTGGAAAAATTCTCAACTGATTCATGCTGTTTTTAATGATATTTTGTTTATATGTTAGAATCATTATTCTAAGAGAATTTGAGTTTCTTTTGATGGTTATGACCATTCAACAGATTGAAATTCTGTTGTTCAATTTTTGTGTATATATTTTGTGCTAAGTGGAATAAATAGTAGAATGGTCATAACCTTCGAAGAAAGCTCAAACTCTCTTATAATAATGTCCCCAACAGTTGAATACAATATCATTGAAAATGACATGGACCAGTTAAGGACTTTTTCTTCTTAGTATCTCTGTTGTTTACTGTCTCATTATCTAAAGTCATATTATAATGTGTACGAGAAAGAAAGTGGATGAAAATCAATATTCTTCAAATGAAATCGATCAATTTCAAATTAATCTTTTTTCATTTATACAATTGATTTCTGTATATTCATTGTTTTCTATAGTTTGTCGAACATGTAAACGAATATTTGTTTTTTTTTGTGTTGTTATATGATCAAATTCAGTGGCAAGCAGAAAAATATCATTAGATATATTTGATGAAAGACATTGATGATTAAATATGATAAGTTGTTTGGAATATAAATGATGTTTATTAACAGATATTTGTCAATGATGATAGGTATTGATAACAAGATTGAAATTAAATTGTACTTGACGAGAAAGAGTCATTTGTCTTTGCTATAATGATACTGTTGAAATATCTTGTGCATATAAGTCCATTATTCATTTCAGACATTATTATCTGTCTTGCATGATATCAAGAAACATTATGATATGTTATCCCGCCCTAAAATTCAAGATCATAATCAAATCAATTGATAGTTTATGGTAATTGGAAATTTTTAAAGTATTGATCGAGTAAATGTACACTGACAGTAGTTAAATTCAATAGATTGGATTCTTTTATTCAATATTGTCTGTGGATATTCGATCAGATTTGAATGTTACTATGTAAACTATGTTTATAGTTAAAAGGACGACATGAATAAGATTATTTAATTTATAAAATTCCATTACGAGTAATAATGTACTTAAGTTATACTAAAAATAGTGGTAGACGTACTTTAATTCTTTATAAAAAGGTTTAAGAAACTTTCTTTCTAAATAGTCTAATAGAGAAAAGAATGTTCTATTTTTCTATGCTATTTGATCATACTTTAACTAATATCATAATGCTAAACTTTCGATAAGACTTGTTCTACTATGATATATGCCTGATAGTACTAGTACCTATTAGATATCTTTTGAATAACTTTTGATAAAACAAAATAGAGAATTGCGGTTTTCAGCGTTCGAAAGAGGGTGTGGGTATATGCCTTTTTTTCTCTCACATCCATGTCCTTTGTCTCTTATTGCTTCTAAATGCGAACGAATAAAATATTAAGACGTAGTATTTAATAGTACTCGTCATAGGCCATCAGACAGTATACGAAACTACTTGAGAGTGACATATATATATAAGGATATACTTGTATAACAAGATGTGAAAGTTTTTTTTTAAAACAGCTATATATATATATATATGTGTATGCTTTTTCTTTGTTCTGGGAGTGAGTTGCTTTATTCGTTTCTTTTCATCTATCTTGTTTTTTTTTAAGTCAATAAACTGATATTGACCTTGTCCTTTCTATTTCAAATATGCAATTGAAATACGTGATAGATTTATTTTATGATATTAATATACAAAATCTCAATTATCTTTTAAACAAGAGATATCAATTGCGTCGCCACAATAGTAGCAGCAGGCTTTGAGCAGCGATGGACATTTCTATTCGATACGTGAAAATAAAGAATCATCTAAAAATACATTTGTAAAAGAATAAATGTTATAATTAGCCATCGAATTAATCTTTGTTAAGAATGTAATGCGTAAAAACAAAGAGAACATGTATTATCAATGAATAACAACATATAGGATCTTTAATTGAAAAATAAATAATTTATTCATTTTCTAATAACGAAAAATCAACACCGATGTTCTTCAGTAACAAAAATCTATATTGTTGAAAATTAATTACTTATGAGAGAAAACCTCCTGATGATTAAAAGTTTTTGATTCCATATTGTGCTCAGTCGTAGAGGATCGGTAGACTAGAATAACCTTC